TAAAAAAAAAGCCTTTGGGGAATTTTTGGGGGTTTTTTAGAAAAATTTTATTCTTACAAAAAGGGGTTATAAAGCATTCAAGGAAAGGTTTGAGTTTTGGTCATTTGGAATGGAATAAATAAGGGAAACATTTTAAATCTTGGGAAGGAAGGGTGGGGTGTTCGAAATTAGGGTTAAAGAGGTTTTGGGGAGGGTTTTATTCCAGAAGTTTGCTGAAGTTTAGATAGAGTAAAATGAAAAAAAAGTAGGGAACTGACGATTTTATTGGAGCAGGGAATTTTAGTACTTTGATTAGGGAAACCCGGATTTTCAAAGGGAAAATTGTCCTGAAAGAAGAAATGTGCACTTAAGGAGGGGCTTAGTTTCAATTGGAGGGATGTTGTTTTTTAAACGAAACCCTTTAAAATTTTGGTTTTCGAGCATGCAAAACAGGAGTGAAGTTGAGGTGGTGAAATGTTAATATGTGAAAGGGTTTTCTTTTGGAATTTTCCTTTTGTCCCCGCCTCGGTGGGAGGAAACTTGTTAAAAAAAAAATTATTATAATTTATAACATGATCGTCTTTCTGGTTAAATTTGGACCAATGCCTCACAGATGGTAAAAAGCTTAAGAAAAGTTTGGTTTTTCTTTGTCTGGGTATTCACTTTCACCCAATTTCATTCTTTTACAATACCGTTTATACCAAAACTATTATTCTAGCCATTGCTTTTAATTTTTAATATTTTATTTTAATTAGTATTCAATTGCTAAATGTAACTTACCTAAGTTGTTTTAATTGTTGTTAAGGAATTAATTTTAATATGCCTTTTATTGTTTTAATGTGAAGATGTTGTTGTTTTTCCTTTTTAATTTTTTAAGATTTTTATTTTTTTTTTTGTAAAAATTCTTGCTTGGATTTTGTAGCAAACCACAAAAATATTCTTATAGGGTTAGCAGCAACCAGGATACCCCCCCCCAAGAGTTCCTACAAATTATAGAAGTACATGGGTTTACTGAAGAGATACTGAGGAAAGGAGATAGTTTTCTAGAGATCTTGAAACCCTTGCCCTGGAGGATCAGTCCTGCTTGTATTCTGGGATTAAGGAAGATCAGTAGCAGCCCGAAGAAGGAATGTATCAAGGCATTAAAACAAAGGAGGTAACCCAGACAGCATGGTAAAGCAATGGAGTTCTGGGAACTATGTGGGGAGGTATTTCTAATATCAGTAAGCGGTTCTGCTATAATGTTGGTACTTGCTGCTAGTAATTCTTTATTTCTTGGTACTAGCAAATTCAGATTCCTCTGCAATGTGTTTATTAAACTGTAAGTGGTTTTATCTGAGTATGTTTTAGTTCCCCCTTTCAGCCATGTATATAAGGTCCATTTGTTTTCAGAGGTAAATTGAGTAGCATATTGATGATATAATTTTTTTGGAGAGTCAGGCCCTGATAAGGTGCCTACTGCTCAATTTTCAGGCAAGCTACCCTATCTTATTAGAACTATTCCTGTATTATTTCTCATGATTTTTTTCCTGCTCTAAACCCAACCTCCGTAGTTTCTCCTCCTTCTCCTACTGACTATAGACTACTTTTATCTCTTCCACTATTAAAAGAGCAGGTGGTGGCAGCATACTTCCAGAGAATGCTACCTTCTATTTTCTCATATTTTAGTAATTTTCCCTTGTTGTTTGTTTTTTCATAATCTTGTACCTTTGTCCACTCTGAGTCTCTACCTGAGGGAACAGACAATATGGCATCGTCTGGTGCTTTGTCCACCTAAGGTGGGACTGAGGTGGAACCTTGCTTACAAGTGCCCACGTGCAAGTTTTCACGATACAAGCCATCACTCACTTGATTTTTTGCTACTGGTACGAGCCAAAATTCAGTTGCGAGCTTCCTTCTCAAGGTTAGGTCCTTGATGCTGGTGAGGGAACTTTTGATCTAGGGAATTGGATCTGTGCTCCAGTTCCCTAAATTAATAATAATAATAATAATAATAATAATAATAATAATAATAATAATAATAGTAAGCGAGTTTCAGAACATCATCACTAGGTGGCACAGCCAACGCCACAACATCAGCTGAGTGTGCAATGTGTTTATGTCACTGTGGAAGCATTTCTCATGTTATTATTGCCAAATTTCTTTTTTCTAACCATGGATCTTAAGAGAGTAAGCACAAAGGACAGTGCTGAGAAGAAAAAGAGGATGTGCCCATGGAATTACAGCATGAAATCATAGAATAAACAAGCAAGGTGTGTGGTGGTAGTAGGAACTAGTAGCAAGTAGCCTATCTTCCACTCTCCACTCTACCAGCGTACGTACAAAATTTATAAAACCACTTTATTTCTTTTACATTTTCTATTATGTTTTTATACAAGGTTTCTTATTTATGAAACTTGTTTATGAAACTAGTGCAGCTAGCCTCACAAACTCTGTTTTCTCTTATAATAAAAGCATGGGAAGATATAGTCAATGGGAGAGGGAATGGACGCGACACAACCACTCGCCATATTATAGCCTATTTTATTCATTTCTAAGTTAATTATATTGTCTATTATGTCAGGTTAGATGAATTGTGATAGATAAATAAACTGTAGAGTTGATATTAGTGTCATACTGAAGTATTTTTGTCCTGCCTTCCGAGAGAAGAAATTCCGCTGGAACGGATTAATGGCATTTCAATTAATTTAAATAAGGAAAATTGTCTTGGCATATGAGCAGATCGGGTTACGAGCTAGGTCACAGAAATGGATTAAACTCATAAGCAGAGGTTCCACTGTACATATACATATAGTTAACTTACACAGATATTGAGCTGCTGGGCAATACACTTCAATTTAGCTGCCACGAAGCTAGTTGGTTGGTCCTTGCTATGTTAGAATATGAGGATGTAGCTGGTATCTCCTTGCGTGCTAATGATGCTATGGAATCAACAATCAGCATACCAACATCTTTCTCCACAGCAATAACTTCAAGAGATTCCAGTCTGAAATGTTTCAAAAACTATAAATCAATAACCAAAATACTTCATTTATGCAGTAGAACTTTACTGATGACTTGGACTTACGATGGGCTCTCTGGCCAGTATGCATACCTAAATAATGTATATTAAGAGCTGATTTCCTCTATTCTGTTTATTACAACATACAGTACACTACTGTATAAAAATTTAAAGAATATACCAGAAATGTTATACAGTGGTACCTTGACTTATGAGTGCCCCAACTTACGAGTCTTCCAAGTTATGAGCCATCGCTCGGTTGATTTTTTGCTTTGAGTTGCAAGCCAAAATCTGAGTCACGAGCGAGCTTCAGATACACTGCCACTAGTTGGCGCAGCAAACGCCACAACATCCACCCAGCATCGTAATTAAGATTATTCAGGTACATGTATACACAAACACAGTTGCATAGATTATCATACAAAGAGTCATATGTGTAGAGAACATAAAATAACCCAAAAAAAGACTAAGTGACTTATTTCCAGTACAGTAGACCCCAGGTTTTCGTAATTAGCCCTTAAACTGACTAAACATAGATCTATGTTGACATGAGTAGTGCTCCGACCTTGATTTTCTCCATTTGAAAGCATGTAAAATCGGACATAGATCTACGTTCGGAGCACTACACACGTCAACACAGATCTACGTTTGGAAAGTTTAACCCTTTCAGGGTTTCGGCCGTACTAGTATGGCTTATGCACCAGGGTTTTTGATGTACTAGTACGCCTAAATTCTAGCGCCCTCAAATCTAGTGAGAGAAAGCTGGTAGGCCTACATATGAAAGAATGGGTCTGTGTGGTCAGTGTGCATGGTATAAAAAAATCCTGCAGCACACAGTGCGTAATGAGAAAAAAAACAAACTTTGACCATGTGTTTGGATTAAAACAGCGACTTTGCACTGTATTTTCGTATGGTATTTATTGTTGTATTCTAGTTTTCCTGGTCCCATTTTATAGAATGGAAGACATGTTACAGAAATTGAGATGATTTTGACTGGTTTTACAAAGAAAACTACCTTGAAATTGCGCTCAACGTAGCAGAAATGTTCGATTTTTACCAAAGTTCAAAAGCAAACAAATCATGCTATGCGTCCAATACACGTCAACTGGCGAGTCTAATATTCTTTCACAAGTGCGCTGATAATATTTATACCATTTCTACACCAATGCAGTTAGTCTGCATAACAGTAAATCTTCTATTTTTTTGTGAGAAAAAAAATTCAAAATGGAAAGCAAAAGAATGTAAGATGGGCATGGGGATATGACTAATGAACAGAGGAAATGTTATTTTAGTGCCAGGAATGTCTTTCTTGTTTATCTGGACCCTATTCAGAAATTGGCATCTTTTGAAATTTGTGTGAATTGGCAAAATTGCTAAATTCTGACCACTGTATTGGATAGTTGAAATCGGTAAATGGGTGGTTTCTTACTCATTTGATAGAAAAAAAATGGAGTTCTTAGTGAAATAGTATGATTTTTTGTCAACAAGTACACTGGAATTGGCCGAAAATAGGGGTCAAAGTGGGCAAAATCACCGATGCGTAAACATCGTCAAGACTGCTAACTTCGCGAGAGCATAATTCCATAACGTTTTCCATCAAATTTCATACTTTTGGTGTCATTTATGATCGGGAAAAGATTCTCTATCTTTTCATAAGAAAAAATAATTTTTTTTTTTTTGAAATTTGGCCGACCCTGAGAACAAGTCTCTGAGAGGGCCTGTCGACCCTGAAAAGTTAAGGGTTAATCTGAAATGGCCGTAAACCAAAGTAACATTTCCAATAAGAAATAATGTAAATCCAATTAATCCGTTTCAGACACCCAAAATATTAAAAAAAAAATACATTTTATAGAGAATAACTATAGTTTTACATACAGAAACAATGAGAAATAAATTATAATGACTAATTTTAATGATAAATGACATTACATACCTTTATTGAAGACACATGTTGCTGAGTAGTATTATTTGTAGTCCCAGAGGGACTACATCCCCGGCATAACATACCAGCTACATACACTGTGGCCTACAGCCAAAATTATTACCATCGACATATCATGTTCATTGAGTTTAATCATTTCTAACAACTACCTTTAGATGACATCATAACAAAAGGAGAAGTAATGAATAATTCATGCCGAGAACTGTAAACAAAAGCTTTTGTACTATTAACCCTTTCAGGTCCAGAGGCAAATTTCAAAGTGCGCACCATGTCTAAGAATTTTCAAAAAATAATTTTGTTATTTTTGTCTTATGAAATGGTTTGAGAATCTTTTCTTTAAGATAATAAAACAAAAAATACAAAATTTGATGTGTTGTTTTTAAAGGAAATCGTCCAATTTTTTTCTCTCATTAGCACTGTGTTCAATTTTTTTTTCCCTTTTCATTATGCACTGTGTGGCTGCAGGAATTGGTTTTATGTGGTGCACAATACACACAGATGTATTCCTTCATATCTAAGGCCCCAAAATTTTCTGCCTAGTTTATCAGAGTGAGCTGAGTCGTGGTGAGAAAACAATGGTTGGGCCTCAACTAAAGCCGTAGATCTACGGCAGGACCTAAGGTTTAAGGGCTGTTATTGGGCAAGGCAGATTCATACATGTTTTTCTGAAGCTGGACAAAGAAAACGTAATGTTTACCTCCACCCACCCACCCCTGACCAAAACATTTCATGTTTATATGCTAGTAACGTGTTTCTTTTAAAAATTTAAGTTTTCTCGGTTAATGAAAAAACTTTAAAAAACCAAATAAGAAATTTTGGGGAAAAAATGATTTTTAAAATACCGCAAAAAAAAATGCCCGTTTAAAAACAGGTGGCCCTTTTTAAAAAAATCTGGAGTTAAAAAGTTAAATTTGGGATTTTGTTGGGTTTTTTAAAGAAAAAATATTTTGGGGTTTTGTCGTGTTTTTTTTTTCTAAAAAGTTTTCCCCCCCAAAATTGGAAAATTTTTGCGTGGTGTTTTTTTTTCCTTTTAAATTTCCCAATTTTTTTTTTAAAAAATTTTTTTTTTTTGGGAAAAATTTAAAGTAAAAAGCGAAATGAAAAGGGGGTTAATGTAGGTTTTTTTTGTTTTTTTTTTTTTTGTTTTTTGGGGGTTTTGGGGGTTGGGTTTTTTTTTTTGGAAAATTGGTTTGCCTTTTTTTTTTTGGGAAGTTGTGGGTTTTGGGTGGTTTTTTTTTAAAAAAGGGGGGGGGGGGGGGGGGGGGGGGGGTTTTTTTTTTAAAGAAAAAAAATATTTTTTGATTAAAATTAATTATAAAAAATCTAAATTTGGGGAAAAAAAAAATTAAATTTTAAGAATTAAAGAAACAAATAAAATTTAATAAATTTATATTTTGGGGTTTTTTTTTTTTTTTTTAAATTAAAAATTTTATATAAAAAAAAATTTTTTTTTTTTTTAAAAATTTTAAAATAAAAATTAAATTTTATGAAATTATTAAAAATGATAAAAAAAGAAAAAATAAAATGACGCCATTTCGACGATGTCAAACCCGGAGAAAAAATTTCCCCGAAAAAAGGCTTGAAATAATTGTATGTTTTCCCACACTGCAGAAAACTGGGGGTCTACTGTAAGGTTGGGCTTAACATAACCTTTTTTGGTAAATTTTTTTTTTCTTTTTGGGAATTTAAAATTTGGAAAAATGGGGAAAAATGCTTATTAACGTACACCAAAAATGAAAGAAATCAAACAATAAATAATGGAGTTCACTTCTCAGCCATTAGCCGGCCCTTAGCAGCATATTTTCGTGTGGTTTTTATTGTTGTATTCTCGTTTTTTTGGTCTTATTTGATAAAATGGAAGATATATTACAGAAATAGATATGATTTTATTGGTTTCACGACAAAAAGTACCTTGAAATTGAGCTCAAAGTAGCGGATATGTTTGATGTTTGCCGTGTTCAAGAGTAAACAAATGATGTCACTGTCCAATACGTGTCCACCTGGCCAGTCTAATACACAGTCGTGAATGGGTTGATATTATTTATATAATTATTACAATAATGCGGTAGTCTGCATAACAGAAAATCTATTTTTTTGTGTGAATAAAAATTAAAAATGGAAAGCAAGAGTAATATAAGAGGGGCCTGGAAATGTGACTAATGAACAGAAAAAATGTTATTTTAGTGCCAGAATGTCTGCATTGTTTATTCTGGACCCTATTTTGAAATTAGCATCTTTCGAAATTTGTGTGAAATTGGCCAAATTGCCAATTTCTGACCAATTTACTGGTAGTTGAAATAGGTGAATGGGCAGTTTCCTGTACTCAGTCGACGGATTGAAGTAAGTAACTTTATTCAGGTACACACAAATACAGTTACATAGATTATCATACACAGCAGCATATATAGAGAACCTAGGATAACCCAAAAAAGTCAGAGTGACTTATTGCCACTGGGTCCTTTTGTTACCTTATCAATAATATTTACCTGGCACATCTTGTGACATCACTGACATTGTGGCTGACATCTTGTGTTGTGCTTGCATTTTGTACTTTTTGTGCAGTTATTTTGCCAAATGTCTTTTTTTCTAACCATGGGTCCTAAGAAAGTAAGTGCAAAGGACAGTGATGAGAAGAAGAGGATGATGTCCATTGAATTAAAGCATGAAATCATAGAAAAACATGAGCGAGGCGTGTGTGTAGTTAACTTGTAGTTTGACCCTCCACCTCCGCTAGCATCTTCCATTAGCCCAAGTCGTCTGATCTCCAAGGTAAATACACTTTATAAAACCAGTTTATTTCGTTACATTCTCTTTTATTATGTTTTTATATGTACGCTATTTCTTATTTAGAAATACATTTTTCTTATTTAAAAATCCATAAAAAAAAATTGGGATGGTGCTTTGGGGGCTAGAATGGAATAATGGCATTTCAATTAATTTCAATGAGGAAACTGATTTGACGTATGAGCAATTGAGCTACGAGCTCGGCCACGAAACTAATTAAACTCATAAGCCAAGGTACCACTGTATATGATGCAAAGGTGACATTAAAACAATATCAAAGATAGTTGACATAAACCCACTACCATTATAGTATGCTCCTCATTTAGCGACGAATTCATTTACCGATATGGTCTTAGGAATGAAACTCCTTCATTAAGTGAGGAGAAACTGTATTATCAAACAAAGTTCACTACGTTATGAAATTATTGTATGTACGTACACTCAAATTAGGAAAAAAAAAATGGTACAGTTGAACTCAATTACTCAAAACCCTGTTTACAATTGAATTCAGCTATCCAAAACTCTGTTTACAGTTGAATTATGTTAGTAAAGTAAAGTAAAGTTTATTTCTTTGCAAAGGTTACAATGTGTAATTACAATTATGATTTGCTAAGTACAAAGATAGCCACTATCATGCCGAGGCATTTTGGGCAGACTAATCCTAATACAGTGGTCCCCCGCTTTTTGTAGTTCCCGGCAATCATAAATTTCGCCAATCATAGGGGTATTTTCGTATAAACATGGACTCGCTTTTCATAGGTTGACTCGCGAGTCGTAGTTCTTCCGGGACGCGTACCCACGGCGGGGGCCGGGGGGTCCCCCAGTTGGGTTTCCCATTAATTTCCCCTAAGGCCCTTCCAAAATTTAAATAATTCCCTTTTTTTAAAGTTAAGTCCCCGGTAAAAAAAGTGGAAGCCGTGAAAGGGGAAAAAGGTAAGGGGCAAACGGGCCTTTTTAAAGGGAAAAAGGCGAAAAAAACAGAGTCCCCAAGTTTTTGGGAAAAAAAGAGGACCCAAGGGGCAGGGAAAAAAAAAGGAAAACCCCCAAAAAAACAATTTTACCTTTTCCGGGGGGGACCCCTAACTTAAAAATCCAATTTTTTCCGTATTAAAAAAAAAATTTTCCAATAAATTTTAATGTTATTTTTATTTTCAAATTTATTGTTTTTTTTAAACTTATGTAAACCCTTTTGAAAATTTTTTTTTTTAATTCTTTCGGCAAATTTTGTTTTGTTTTTTTAGGGGGAAAATTTAAAAAAAAAATTCTTTTGTGCCCCAAAGGATTAAAAAAAAAACCGGGGAATGATTCCTTTTTTATTTTGATGTAGTCTAAAAACCCCAATTTTCAAAAAAAGCCCTGTCCAAATTTTGGTAAAAAAGGGTAAAATAGAGTTTAAGAAACCATCAGGGAAAAATTAAAAATGTAAATTGGGCAAACTTCCCCCCCCCCCCAAAATGTATAAAAAAAACCCCTACACAACCTTATTTTCCCTGGGGCCCCAAAAAAAAGGAAAAAAAGGAGCTGTTGTTGAAAGGGAAACTATGCTGAAAAAAAGGAAAATAAAAGGGGTTTGGGAAGTTTTATTGGTGTGGAAAATGAAAAAATTAAGGAGTCTTTATGACTTCGATTTGTGAAAACCCGGAGTTGATGAAATTTGGTAAAAAAATTCCTGAAAAATAGTGGTGATGGAGTAAATTAAAAAAGCCGCAAAGGCGGGTTTTGAGGATTTAAGAACCTAGGAACAAGTGTGGCAAGGCGGTGGGGCCTTCGGACCAAAAGGGGGTGAAAAATATGTGCAAAATTCCCAGGAGTACATAAGGTAAAGGGAAAGAAACTGAACAAGTTTTTCAATTGTGCAAAACGGGCCTCTTTTGGAAAAATCCCAAAGGGGACCTTCATTACAAAAGAAAAAAAAGGCAATAGCCCCGCCGAACGCTAGCTATGTTCGTGCATTCTAGGGGGGATTTTAAAGTAAGTTCAGGACATTTGAAAAAAGTGTGTTTTAAAATCTAATAGAAAGGGCATGGGGGGGAAATTTTTCGAGTGGTTCAATGAAGGTTTGGCCCTAGTGTAAAGGGAGTTTTCCCCTGGAAAAAATTGGATTCAAGTGCCTGATAATGGACAATGCACCTGCTCATCCCAAATTTGGGTGACCTATTTGGAAGTTTGGGTTCATCACAGAAATTCTTTCCCCCAATACCACCCTCTCCTCCAACCCATGGACCAGCAGGTTATTTCAAACTTTAAAAAATCTACACAAAAGCAATGTTTCACAGGGGCTTTACTTTTGGCCACAGACATCACTTGACCCTAAGGGAATTTTGGAGGAAACTTCAGCATCCTCCCTTGCAAAACCCTTTAGATATGGGTTGGGGAGGGTACTACCCGACTTTTAACTCTGCCTGGGGAAAATTGGGGCCAAATTTTGTTGACAAGAGGGGGTTTTGAAAAATTTTGGGGTGACCTAATGAGCCTATGCTGTTGTAAAATCAATTGTGGCACTGGGGGGTTCCATGGGTTGGATGTAGTTTTGGGGATTGGAAAATTGGTGGAAGACCAATGAAGAGCTCACCATGAGGGTGCAAGAGCTTCAGCGGAAAAGCAAACATCGCAGCTCGAACTTTGCAGAGGAGGAGGAAAAGAGATGGAAAAAGGTGCCCTTTTTCAAAAATTAAAGAATTTTTACTATGTGGGGGAAGATGGAAGCTTTATGGGGAAACATCACCTAACAAGGTGTGCAAACCAGGTTGGCAACATGTACAGTGACAAAGTTTGGGCCATTTTAGGGAATATTAAAGAGAGCCCGAAACAAGCCTTTCCCCCAAGTTTTTTTGCGAGACGGACTCCAGTGACCCCAAGGGTCCTTTGGGGATTTAAAAAAAAGAAGAGACAACCCCAGAAAAGCAAAAAGGTACCGAGGGGTTGATGGAAGGGAATTCCCCTTCCAAACTAAAACAATCCACTTCTCCTCCTCCCAGTCTCCCATACATAGAAGAATCCAATAAAGGTAGGTTTTGTGTTAAGTTTTTCATCATTTTCCCCTTTTTTGTTTATGTCTCAGATATTTTTGTAAAAAATTTTTTTTTTTTAATACTTTTGGGTGTCAGGAACGGTTTAAATTTTTTTAAAATTATTTCTTAGGGGGGAAAAATTTATTCGTAAAAACGTAAATTTGTTTTTTTTAAGGCCAGGAAAGGATTAATTAGAAAAAAAAGAGGGACCACTGTACATGTAATAATTAAAACTGAAAAAAATTAGTAATAGTAACTATACTTAAAAATAGACAAGAATAGTGGTTAATGTTTTCAACTTTTTTAAAATTAATCAAAAGAAGGTAGTAAAGGGGGAGTAGGGTTTGGTAAAATAATCTTGAAATTGCACACAAAAATCCTTACAAGTAATGTGCAGGTGGGTTTTTTTTATGGTTTTGGGAGAATTAAAAAACCAGGATTCACATAATAAAAATAATTCAGATGTTAGGTTTATTTTGGGTTTAAAATTGAAAGATAAGTGATTTTATGGATTGGCAGAATTTAGAGCTAAGGTCACATAAAAAACTGTTAGCGATGTTTTGGTTGATTTGGTTAATTTTAGAGAGAGATGTTTTTTTAGCAAAGTCCCAATTTTTTAAGCTGTCAGGGGATCCTTTACCTGTTTGGTAGCGAGTTTCCGATTTTGGGCCCTTTATGTGCATACGTCTTTCATAGTGAAATGACCGAGGAATGTTAAAAAGTGCCTTTGCCTTGTATTGTGACTGTGCTTCTGTCGTAACTGCAAGTATATTTTTAGGGGGGGGTTTACAGTGAGTTTTAAAGTTCTGTAATTAGTAGGCCAATAATATAGTGTATGTTTGTTTTTTGGGAAAGTCTTTTTCTTTTTTAGGTCACTCTACTTTGGGGGGAGGGGTAGTGTGTTAAAAGCCCTTTAAAGTTCTAAGGCAATTTTTTTATATTTTTTTGTACATTTTTCCTAATAATAATACCCCCTTTAAATTACAGAAGGGAAATTATGTAATGTAAAAATGTAAGTGCTTTGACGTTTTTTGGGGGGAAAATGGTAAATTTTTAAATTTTTGGAAACAAATTGGGCGATAAATAAATTTTTTTGGGGAAAAAAAAAAACGTTAAAGGGGGCCATTATATAATCACAAAATATACAGTTAGAAAAAAAAAATTTTTAAACTAAAGAAATAAATTAGAATTTAAAAGGGTTTTTTAAAAAAAATAGACAGTAATATGGGGAGAAAATGGTTAAATTTAAAATGGAAAAAATAAAGGAGATAAAAATAAAATTTTTAATATTTGGGGTAAAATGCTAGGGTTTTAAGGGAGGGTTCCCAAAATTATGGGGGAAAAAAGGGAGGGTTTACAGTTTCTTTTGCTGGATAGGCGGAGGGGTAAGAGAAGTTGCAAATTATATAGTTTTAGGGGGGTTTTAAGGTGAAAAAAGGAGTTTTAAAACAGTAAGTGATAGGGAAAAGGTTGGTTGTAAAAATGGGAAACAATTGAAGGAGGGGGGGAAGGGTATTTTTTCGTATTTGGGAGTTACATGAGTGGAGGGTTTTTTTTAAAGAAGAGGTTAACCCCGAATGATGAAGGAAAAAAATTGGTGGGCAATAGGTATCTGAAAAAAAAAAAATTTAAACCCTGAGGGCAAAAAAAACAGAGTACAGTGGTACCCAAATCAATAAGTTAACGGGTTGTAAAACGCAAACAAAGAGGAGGCTGAAGGAAATGGAGATGTCATGTCTAAGGAAAATGTGTGGTGTAAATATTATGCAGAGAATTCATAGTGTGAAAATTAGGAGGAGGTGTTGAGTTACTAAAAGTATTAGTCAGAGGTCTGAAAAGGGTTTGTTGAGGTTGTTTGGTCATTTAGAGAGGATGGAGCAAAATAGGATGACTTATTATAATCAAAATGAAGCGACTCTGCAAAGACTGATTATGTGTGAATGATGGTGAAAGTATTGAATATTGGTGAAAGCATCACCCTACCTCGGTGGGAAACTTCCATACTGAAAAAAAAAAAAACAAGCATGAATGAAACACATCACACAAGTAAGCAATGAGTACTTAAGATTAGCGATTACCAGTTAAGTGGCAGACAATTAAAGTTCCACTAGACAAGGAAATATTGTACACATTAAAACTTACATTTCAGAGAGACTGCTGACTGTTTTGGGCTGATAAAGGTAGATCCTTGAGAGATACTCCTTAATCTCTGTTGTATGCTCTGGGTACTTGTTATTAATAATCTCAACTATTCTGAAAATGAAGTAAAGCAATTGAAAATAAATGGGCCAAACTTGTTGCAGTGTAACTTAGGGTGTGAAATATATGTAATAATAACACCAACCATGTATTATTTCCTTCTGGAGTTTCCACCAGCTTTAAATGGAGGAAAGCAACACTGTGCTCTGACATTAATGAAGGAAGCAAATATGATGCTTTAATTTAGCATCATCCACAGCCATGATTGCTTTCACTGTTTTCTTATTACACTTCTTAACTATTTTTGACTCAAAGTAGCACAACTTTTCACTGTGTCCAAGAATGAATCCAAAAAGAGAAACTGAACCTGGTAATAATAATAATAATAATAAAGTGCATGTAAGCCACATCAAACCTAGGGTAACAAACACAGTACATATAATGCTCCAGACTAGATTTCCCTTTCCTAGGCAAAAGGAAAGCTCTTCTTCTGAATGCAACAAGTGTTCCATATTGCTGAAATTAAATTTTCTTCTTATCAGTACTGAAAGAAAATATGGAAAGGAGCACAAACTCTAGTGGTGATGTGCTAGCAGCATTTACCACACAAATTTGGAGAGTAAATATTTAACAATTGAAACCTAGTTATTTTCTCTTAAAAGAGTTCAATAGGTGAACACCATTCCCTGCATTAGTCCATCTGACCTCTGACCACAACCACTAAATGATACTCCTTTGCATTTTTTCACAAAACTTTGACATGCATCATTACCGAACTACAGATGACTTATTTTTTCTCAAGTTTAATATTTTGTTGAATGTTGCCCAAGTAATGGTCTAATTTCTTTTAACTGGCCATGAACCTTTAGTGAGATTTGTCAGTACAACAAAGGCTTTAATAATTTGCCTTATAACATCACATGATCAACATTAATGAGGGTACGGTGTGCAACCAGCATCAGTGTTGAGGGTGTCAAATTCATTGGTTCAAAAGGGATGAGAAAACCTTGGTATATCTAATGAGATCCCCAGGTATAAGACACTAGTGGCTTATCATACTCTTTATTTAATTACTGTCTACTATGCTGTTTTCAAAAGTAAGGTTAGAGTCAGGTAGGGTTCGTCAGGAAACAGGACAAGTGTTTCCTGATGCGGGTCTTCGTCATATGATGCCCCTCCGTTGGAGCTTTTGGTCATCTGACTGAGGTCTTCTGCTGGCTTACCGGTCTACCTCTTTAAAAATTATGGTCATGTTATAACCATTTATGAAAATTTTGAAAAGTACGTTACAATATCATGCTTGTAACAAATCGCAAGCCCCAAAGATTCTCTCATTCTCTCATCTTCTGACTTGCTAAAGTTCTCATTCCTTTGCATTATTTTTTCTTGCAACCATCTCTCTCTCAGAACTTCAGTGAAAGAGGGCAGCCACAGCACACCTGAGCAGACTCTGTTAATTAATCTTTTGATAATGAAATGATGACAGTTTCTGGAAGAGAAAGCAACTGCATGGCTACTTCACATCTACAGTTCTGCTAAGTCTTCCTTGATCAATTTTTTTTTCATTTCAATTCCGTATTCAAATCTATAAGTCTAGTCAATAAAAGCACCATAAACAGATCTGATAATTTAAATTAATAAACATGGGCTTACACTTATAATTGCCTGATGCATTATCACAAAGTAGAAAGCTGAAGTGATCCTTTGCTGCCTTGAACCCAGGAGCACCTTTCTCTTGCTGGCTGATGCAAGCTCTTGACAGCATCCTCTTCCAATAAAAACTCGTCCTCAACATTAAACATTTGCTGTGGCTCACAGCCACCCTCAAAAATAATTTCCTGTAATTCAGCTTGTATTTTTGCCTCATTCTTTCTTATTTTATGAAGTGATGCCTCATTCAAGCCATAGGCTTGTGCCATCTCCATCACATGTGTGTCACTCTTCAGCTTATCTAATAAGTCAATTTTCTTCAAAACACTGATAATTTCACTCTCATTCCTCTTGGATGCCATGGTTATTATCTAGAGATGAGATGGGATGATGTAAAGATCAAAAATCAATTCACTAACACAGGCTGAGTATGGTATTGGAAGCGCGTGAACGAAAGAAACACTGAGGTTAGGGAGGTTGTGTACATTAAGTAGGCCTACCCTGTAAAACAATGGCCTCTCCCATAGGTTCATGTGGAGGGTAATGAGCCCGTAGCATGCCATATACATTTGCTCTGTGATATATGATAAATACAGCATGTTCAAAGTAAATATGTTGCAATTTCTCAACTGTATTAATGCAAAAAAGTGTTAACAGATCACTTGTTAAATCAATGGTCTACTGTATATTAAAACTGTCTCTTATTGGGACCATTCTAATTTAATATTACTGCTGCATTACTATCATCTATTATATCCAGAAGTGTCTGTTGATGTTACAATCATGAAAAAACAATCTCAGCTTTAACAGACAACCCCACCTCTAAATTACTCCATTAAATTGAGGGCTCATTGTACTATACCACCAATGCTGTTTTATTAGATTTGTTATGTCATGAAAGAAAAAATAAAGGACAACACACAGCACACATGAGCGTTCTACCATGGAATAAAAATAACTCACCTTTCAGGTCTGAAAGCAGTTTCTGTGTCAATATACATGACTGTAATATTGCAGTTGCTCTTCTTCTTTGCCAGGACTGAGAGGATGGCTATGTACAAGCACCACTGGGTTTTGCCAACCCCTAAAGGCCTGAAAAAAATATGATCATGTTTCTCACTTACATACTAAATCTATTTTTAAGATTAAACCCAAAAATAAATGTAATTAATTTAAAAATTTGGCAATTTTCCCTGGTATTCCAGTGAATTTTTAAAAAACTTGTTGGCTTTTTGGGGTCTCTGGAATGAAAATCGAATACCATGGAGGTTTAAAACCTTTCCGGGGTTTCTTACTAGATCTACTTTTTAAAAACACAATATGCTGTAAGTGATAAATTTTGGCCTAGAATGAGAGAATGAGTTGTGTGGTGGTAGATGGTAAAAAAAAAAAACCCTTCCCAACTGCATGGCATTTTTGTGTACTGGCATTTTTTGGGTTCTTTGATGGAAGAAAGATTACTTGAAATGAGATGTTTTTTGACTTTTTCGGGCCCAAGTATTTGAAATCTGGCTCAAAAAAAATTTAAATTTTTTGAAAATTTTCTGAGGAGGGGTAAGAGACCCTAACACCCGTCTCCTTTATGGTTTTTTTAGGGGTTTGCTTCTATTACGGGAGCCCTAAACCCATGCGAATCATTCCTTGTTATATTTTATTTTTGAGAAACGGGGACAGTTTTTTTGTGAGACAAATTAAAAAGAAGGGCAAATGTGATATAGAAGAGGCCTGGGGGTGTGATTAATGAACAGAGGAAAATGTTGTTTGGGCTGCAGTCCCTATAGTTTTTAACCCCTTTTACTTTGGTGATGTTAGGTATGGCTTTAAAGCCCAAAGTGGTGCGTATTAAAAATACTCCAAATTTTAGCGCTTCAAAACTTGCAGGAGAAAAACTGGGAGACCTACATGTGAGATAATGGGGCGCATGGGCAATTTTTTTTTTTTTTTTTTATTATACACTGGCCCATTCCCCAAGGGAGGGTGGCCCAAAAAGAAAAACTTTCACCATCATTCACTCCACCCCGTCTTGCCCCGAAGGGGGTTTTTCACTACGTTTTTTTTAAAATGCAACATTAACCCCCTCTTCAGATGCAGGGACGATTCCCATTCCAGGACTCAAGTCCGGCCTGCCGGGGTTTCCCCGAACCCCTTATAAATGTTATTTGCTCCACTCCAAAGCACGTCAATATTTAAAACCCTTTGTCTCCATTCACTCCTATCAAAAACCCCGCTCACGCTTTCCCTGCTGGAAGCCCAACCCCCCTGCCCCACAAAACCCCCTTTTTACCCCCCCCCCTCCCCCTTTCCCCTAGGGACCCCAAACCCCCCCTTTCCCTTTTCCACACAGACTGATACACTCTTAAAGTCACTTTTTTTGCTCCATTCTCTTACTTTGTCCAAACCACCTCAAAAAACCCCTTTCCTTTACCCCTCGGAAAACTTTTTGGGGTAACCCCGCACCTCCTCCTAACTTCCAAACAAACGTTTTTCTCTGCATTATATTCACCCACCAACTTTTGCCCTCAGACAGGGACTCCCACTGCCTCCAGCCTTCCCCCCTCGCTCCCCCCAACATTCATCCCCCATGTTTCACCCCCAATAAAAGAGCTTTGGGTTTAAAACATACTCTATACATTCCCCTCTTTGCCCCCAAGGACAAATTTTCTTTGTCCCACGACCCCTTTTAAGTGCACCATTTCCCCCTTTTCCCCTTTCATCAATTTTTTGATTCCCTCATCTTTCTAGACCCCCGCTAAACACGTCCACCCCCCAAATTATCTGATACATTCACCTCCTCCATACCTCTCCCTCCAATCTGATATTAAAAATCTTTCATAACTAATCTTTTTTTTTATCCTAAAACCCTTTACTCTTTCCTGTATTCACCTTCAATTTTCTTTTTTTTGCCACCCAAACCAAATTTCATCCCCCAATCTCTGCAACTTCTCTTCAAATCTCCCAAGGAAACAGTGTCATCAGAAAAAGAGCAGCTGTGACAACTCCCATTTTGTGTGTGATTCTTTATCTTTTAATCCAGCCTCTTGCCAAGACCCTCGAAATTTACTTCTTTTGAAACCCCCAATCTATAAAATTTTTAAAAAAACCAGGGTGACATCACACATCCTTTTTCTAAGGCCAACTTTTACTTTTTACTGTGCAAAAATAAAAAAAAAATGGGGAGGCCCCCAGTGCATTGTGGGAGTGCAAATTCATATCCTTTGGTCCCCAAAGGGCCTTAGCGAAAAAGGAATACCTTTTTCCCCGGGAAAAACGGGGACCCCTTCCCTTCCCAAGTGAAATGTTCTAACACAGATTGAAGTGTCAGTGGAGGGTGAATCTCATGGTTTTGAGGAGTTTGTGGGCCGGAAAAAAACAATGTCCCCGGAACCAGAAATTTGTGCTGAAAAACCCCGAAGATCACAACCTTACCTTGATGCTGGGGCCCTCCCATTTTAAGTTCACTTGACCACAGCAAAAGAGGAAACTCATAAATTTTTCCCCAAATTTCAAAGAATAAGTTTGGGGTTTTTTCAGGTATACACAAATACAATTAAATAGATTTTCATACATACAGCATAAGTGTAGATTACCCGGGAAAAAAAAAAAGTCAAAGTGACTTATTTTCCCTGTGGGTGGGGGGAAGACAGCATGTTGATTTGGGGTTAAAAAGGGGGGTTGTGGGGCAACATTTTTTTTGGGGGGGGGGGGGGGAGCGTGGGTTTGGGGGAACAAGGGTTTTTGGGGAACAATTTTTTTTAAATGGGTAATATTTGTGCATTTTCCCGTTGCATACAATAGTGGATATTTATATGACAAATTTTGAAAATATTGGGGCCACAGGCCCAAAAAATTCTTGAAAAAATAAAATTTTTGAAAAAAAAAAAAAAAAATAGAAAAAAAAATAAAAAAAATATTACCCATAAAAAAACCGCAAATTGCGATGTTGCCCGGGAAGCGGTTCCCCTGCCCGTCAAAAAATTTTATGCTCTATATCTCGGTAAGTAATGATTTCAAATTTTTTTTTTTTTTAAAAAAATCAGAAAATTTTTTTTTTTTTCAAATATTTTTTGACACTAAAAGCAAGTATAAATAAAGTTTGTGGGGCAGGGGGGCTCGACAGTGAAAGGGTTTTAAAATGGAATTTTTTAAAAATGTGTAAAAAAAGGGAAATTACCCAAATTTTGCGCATTTTATAGGGGAGTTCTGATAGCTGAATGGAAAATTTTCTTGTCTGAATTGAAGAAGGATTTTATACAAACCCAAAATGTTTTTAAAAATTTTGGGAGAACTTAGGGAAAAGGGAATTGGGTTAAAATTTAAAATTTAACGTTTTTCCCCTCACATTTTCAAAATTTAAAATTGGGTTTTCCCTACTTTCTAGATTTTTATCTTAATTATTTCCTATAGACCCTCCCCCCCGGCCGGGATTAACCCCCGGTTTATAGAGTCTCAAAACTCCAGCCCGGGCGCGCTAGCCACTAGACCCGCTAGCCAAAAATAAAATTAACCCAAAATAGGGAAATTTTCCAAAAACCCTAGGAAAAATTGCACCGGCCCCCTTTTGTGACCAAAAATGCAATTTTTCCCGACGGAAAACCCATTCTCTGGCCGTGACGAACCCCTTCTCAAGTCCCTTCACTGGGCCCCTTTAACAGGGCTTAAAAAAATGTTTGGGCACGATTGCAAATTAAAAACCCTACCCCCCCCCGGGGTTGAAAAACCCCCGGTATAGAGTTCAAAACTCCAGCCCGTCGCGCTAGCCACTAGACCAATAGCCACAATAAAAATTCATGTGTGTTCCCTATGGTGTAGAAAAAATTTCCTAGTTGGATGGGTTTTATTGTGGGTAGCTGGGGCTGGGCTAGCGCGACGGGTGGGTTTTGAGACTCTATGCCCCGCGGGTTCAACCCCGGGCCGGGGGGTATGGTTTTTTTAAAAATCGTGTCTTTAGGGGATTTTTAAGTTTTAAATTTCCCTATGGGTTCTGGGAATTTTCTAAATTCTATTTATTTTTCTAATGTATAAATATAACCAAAGTATAAAATCAAACTGAATAAAACCGGGAAAGCTGTTGGGATTTTTTCCCTCTCTGTTTTTTTCCCAAATTGAAAAAACACTCATTTTTTCACAAGAAAAAAAAATTAAGTGCCCTTTGATTTCTTTGATGAAAAATTTTAAAAGTTTTAAATTTTTTGCCAGAAAAATTTGAGTCACAGCAAAAGGTTTTAAAAAAAAGGATCTTTAAAAACATCACAGGGGATTTAAAATTTCCCCCTGCAATTTTAAAATTTAACAAAATTGTTACCAAATTTTGTACAAGCTTCTATCAAATTGGCAGGTGATGAAAATTTTTTTGCATCCCCCTTTCCACTCAAGCATGCACATGCAATAATTTCCATCAGAAGCCTGGGGAAAAAAAAATTTTTCCTCCGTAACCCAATGCTTGTTGAAAAGGGGGCAACCAAAAATTTCCCGGGAGAAAGGGGGCCCTATTTAACCCCCTTTCCCGTAAAAAAATTACTAAATTTAAAGAAATTTTTGTTTTTTTTTTTTGGGCCACCCTGCCTTGGTGGGATAGGGCCGGTGTGTTGAAAGAAAGGAAAAAAAGAAAAGGCACGTTCTCTTTCCAAACCCAGTAATAAAAACCCCACCCATCCCCCTCCCTCCTAGCTAGAAAACCCCCCCCTCCTTTGGTGAGGGAGCCTGCATTTTGGCCAACCCCGTGTAGCATTTTTTTGTCAAAAAAAATGTTTTCCCGCCAGAAAGCTGCCTTTTTTCCTCCTTTTCACTCAGATAAAAATGCCTGAAAATTTTCCTTTAAACAAAAAAATTTAATTAAGTCATTTTAAAGCATGGGGGAAACAATAGTGCTGATAACAGTTATATCCCTGAAAATTTACGATGTTTTTGGGTGTAATGAATAAAGAAAAAATTTTACAGGGGAAATTAAATATTTAACACTTAAAAATAAAAATCATTTTCTTAACTTACAGTACCCCTGTTGAGGGGCACAAACATCAAGAGCCCTTTTCCATAAAGGTTTACATTTATCAACATCATGGGGAAACCCGTGGGGCATTACTTTCAA